TCTCTCTCTCTCTCTCTCTCTCTCTCTCTCTCTCTCTCTCTCTCTCTCTCGGGTATTGCTAACTCTTGGGTGAGGTGGTGAGGGCTTATAGCCAAATGCATCAGCCTCCTGATCCATTTGGCATTGGAAGTTGGCCGAAAGAAAACAGTCTGTCACTATTACTCGTTTTTTTTTTTTTTTGACAATCAGTTACCCATGTTTTCCTTTTTTTTTTTTTTTTCATTTTTCTTGCAACTTGAGCACTGGAAGAAACAGACATGCGTAGAGATACAGGTCCACTTACTTGGGGCATACTCGCACCGAAACGTTTTTTACTGATCTCTGTGGACGTGATTGCGGTCCGATACATTCAGAAGCGGGCGTCATTGTGGTCCGATACATTCGGGGAAGTCCTGGTGTGAGTGTGCTCTGTTGGAGGGGTGAGAGCAAACAGGCACGCATGCGCACGATTTCAAAAACTGCAAAAATATCAACAGGCTGTCATAATTACTCACTCCCTTCTGTTCGTGGGTGGGTGTCTGTCGGACATGAAGACGCAAAATTTGGCTGGCCTTATCCCATCATCTCTCACTCCAATGGCAACAGAGGAGCGGAACACGGCTGGCACAAACGAACCTGGCTCAGTTGGTAGACCCACCATGGACTGTGGAAATACGGACCCTGGTTCGAATCCGTATGGGACTCGACGAACGTAACGAATATTTTTGAATTACCTGGGGCACGTCAGCTTGATGACGATATCTCAAGGCCGCCGCCCTTTCTAAAAAAACAGAGAGAAGAGGGGAAAAGAAGAGGGAAGAAAGGAGAAAGAGGAAAGAACATGGCTGGCTTAATCCATAAGTACCCCAATGATTGATTCACATTTCGAATTTTGAAAGAATCGAAACGACGGACAGAGCATGATCGACCTCAGTCCGAACGCCCATGAACTCTGCTGGTGAAGCACAGACCACAGTTCGAATCCAGATGGAATCAATTGAGTAAATTTACTAAATTACTAAAATTTACTAAATTACTAAATTTTACTAAATTACTAAAATAATTGTGAATGAAATTCAATGAATGTGAATTAACTTCTTCTTCTTCTTCTTCTTCTTCTTCTTTTTTTTTTTTTTTTTTTTTAGCTACTGGTAGCAGCTCTGATGTATTCGTGGGGAGCAGGGGAACCGGGCCCAGTGTCCCATTTGAAGTGTGAACAGAGCTGGGGACGGTCAGTTACAAAATGATATCTTTCTTTTTTTTTCTGTCTTTTTCTTTTTTTTTTAATTCTAATTTCTAACCAGTCTCAGTTTCATTTAAATTCAATAAGTGAGGCGGGGGTCCTCGCATTAATACCGGGAGTATCTGGAAGCATCATCCAGCTTAGCGTACAGGTATGATCAAAATGATATCTCAAGGCCCCGACGCACTTTTTAAGAAAAAAAATTGAGACTGATCATGGATGGCGTTATCCATCATCCAATGCGAACACACCAGTAGGTTGAAGAAAACAAATCACAGCAGGACGTTCGTTGAACGTGGACAAATGTTACAATGAGCATGTTGAAACTGCGTTTGCTGTCAAAATTGCAGCAGTGAAACGGCCTTTACACCCCTTCTTTTCTTTTCTTTTCTTTTCTTTTCTTTTCTTTTCTTTTCTTTTCTTTTCTTTTCTTTTGGTTACTCAACCACGTTTGAATGGGGTTCCAATTGTGATATCTATGCATCGGGATGGAAAAGGGGGTATTGTGGGGATGGTCCACGGCACGCACAGCCGACTGACCCTTTCTGCAGAGCACACCAATCAAGGTCGCGGCTTGTCCTCAGCAATGTCTCACCTGAGTTTGGCTGCAAGGAATCAGCCCCTGGTTGTAACCATCCACGACACACACACACACACATAAAGAGAGAGGGAGAGAGAGAGAGAGAGAGAGAGAGAGAGAGAGAGAGAGAGAGAGAGAGAGAGAGAGAGCATACAGACCTGCTGTGTGAGAAACAGGTGGAAAAGTATTGTGCTCGTTTTGGAAAATCCCTGCCTCTTTTTTTTTTCTTTTTTTTTTTTTCTCAAACAAAACACAGCCCCTTCTATGCGAATGTTTTTGAAAGAGCAGCGGGGTAGATTAGACAGAGAAAAGCGTATGCCTGCCCTTGTGGCTCGAGCCTCCTAAGCAATGGGGGGCTGGTTCGGCTCAACCCACTCCCAACCTCCAACCCTTACGGGCAGCACCCAGGCACGCTGCAGGAAAAAAAAAAAAAAAAAAAAAGCCCTGGAAAAAATCCCTGCTCCGTTGTCTGTTTTTTTTTTCTTTTTTTTTTTGTCATTTTTTTTAACTTGTTCGTGATTGCTGTCGTAGCTACTGCCCCTAGCTCTTCACCATATAAGGTCACCGTTGATAAATGCTATTTTAGTATTTCTTAAATTTTATTTCTTGTATCTTTTTTTCCTTTTATTTTATCCATGAAGAACTTGTTCGAGGGTCCCCGCCAAGAGAGGTAACCTCCCTTCACGGAAGAGAGGTAAAAAGCTATGCTTGCGGGGGTCCCCTGTCTAGCCTTAGGAGTAGTGGTAGGTAGGTAGGTAGTGAAAAAAAGAAAGATATGTTCCATGACGACAGGGCAGAACGCCAGTCTTTTTAAAAAAGTGCAGTGAAAAAAAGAAAAAAGAAAAAAAAAGGCTGTCCCCCGATGAGGAGAAGGCAGCGTTAAAAAGAAAAGAGAAAAAAGAAGAAGGAAGAAGAAAGAAGATCTTATCTTATCTTATCGTGATCGGGCCAGATCGGGTATATACACTAGTGAATTGGCGGAGAACAGCTGCTATATTACAGATGGAAACGCAGCATGCCGGCCGAAGATGGGTGGGAAACCCTAAATTGACGATAACGAGGTGGAACGCTAGTTGAAACAAACAAGCAAAAGGGGAAACAGGGAAGTAGAAACAGAAGGGAAAAAGAGGGAGGGGAAAAGCGGAGAGGGGGAGGTGGCGGAAGAGGAGGTACAAAGGGAGTGAATTGCAAACATTGCCACATTCCGCTGTGCTCTCAAATTGTTGGGTTATGTCATCCACATGTTTTTTTTCTGGATGGGTTGGCTTTGCAGGCTATCTACTGGCTTCAGAAGGCATCTGAAAAAGACGTCGAGGCTCGGCGTATGCTCTCTCTCATGACAGGTGATTCCGTGGAGGCGCATTGATGGGGGGCCGGTGGTGATGATGGTGGGAAGGCGGAAAGAGAAAGAGTATCTGTGGTGTGTGTGTGTGTGTGTGTGTGTGTGTGTGTGTGTGTG